GATTCTAGGAAAAATTAGGGGGAAAAAATAGGGTTTGACCTTTTGGATAAAATAAAATTTAAATTTTTAATTTTATCAATTTAAATCTTAAATATTTAATTTACTTTTAATCTAAATCATTTGTTTATTTTCGTTAATTAAAATTGAGGAAAAAATTATATTTAATAACTAAATTCAACAAAAAATAATATTAAAACTTATTATGTTGCTGACCATATCAATAATAAATTTGATTTACATAATTCAAATTATGAGTAGTTTTTTCTAAGTTTATACCATTGTTGAATTTATGCTCTTGTAGTCTCTCTCCACTATAAACAGTAATATTACAAATCCAAAATTTTTGCTCAAAAAATTACTAATAAATATCAATATAGGATCTAGATTTATTATACATATGAATTCGACAAATCTTAATTAAGGGACTGGCTTTTCTCCAGTCCCAAATCGGACTAGAGAGGATATTGTTGGGCCCATTAGGCTCACTTTTGGGCTCCATTTCAATAATCCGAACCGTTCACATTTTAGGATTCGTCGAGTAAATCATCATTGCAAAACATCCAGTCAATCAAATAACAGCAACCATATATCTGGATTAGATTTGTATAAAAAAAATAAACGGTAAGAAAACAAACGATTCATACAAAATTGATACGAACAAGTGGTTTATGTTATCCGATTGACTTGATTTTTGGCAAGGATAATATATTCGACGAACCTTAAAATATAACAAGTTCAGATTATCGAAACGGGATTCAAAAGTGGGCCTAATGGGCCAGACTAGATGGTCAAGTCCGATGAAGGACTGGAGATAGTTCAGTTCCTAAGGCTGTGTTCGGTTCAAGAATTTGGGAAGGGATTTGAAAAATGAAAGAGAAAAGGACAATGAAATATAAATAAAATATACTTACATTTCACATAATTTCATATAACTTTTCCTTTCCCTTTTCCAAGTCTCTTCCCAAATCTATCAACCAAAGACGGCCAAAATAAATTGTTGGCACAAAATTATGGGTTCCAAGACTTACTACACTATAAAAGCATATCACTAGATCAAGACTGAGCTCACAGAAGTAGTACTCTGTTGGACTGTTGTATCCCATGAGGGGGTGTGGGACACAAATCATGGGATAACTCATCCCATGGGGATTAAGTAATGAAATTATATTTTTGACCCTCTATTATTTAATATATTTTTTAAAATAAAATTTATTTATTAAATTATTTATACTTAATTTATTTATTAATTTTTTTGTACTTAAAAAATTTATTTATTAAATTATGGATTAATTACCAAAAAGTCCTATCTACATATTTAATGGTAGCTTAGGTTCTATCAAAAAGTTTTTGAACCATTAAGTCCCATTTATAGGTAAAAAGACGTTTTGCGCTTTAATCCCAAAACTGAGAATGTTCTCAATTTTAAAACTGAGAATGATCTAAGAAATTTCTCAATTTTTTCTAGTATGAACTAAGAATATTATCAAAACTGAGAAATTTATAATTATCAATTTTGAGAAATTTCTCAATTCTTTTCATGTTTAAAATTGAGAATATTATAAACTGAGAATGTTCTCAATTTCTCAATCATTCAATATTAATATGCAATTTTTTCATGTAGACTTTTGTCTCTACTCTCTCTCTATAATGACTTCTCTCTTCCGGGACAGGTCACTCAACCAATCCAAAAGAGAGACCATGACCGACGCCTCCCTCTTGTCCCCATTCGGCGACCTCACACCGACTCTCTCCTCACTTAACCAATCCAAAAGAGAGACCATGACCGACGCCTCTCTCTCGTCCCCATTCGGCGACCTCACACCGACTCTCTCCGCCGCCGACCTCCACGACACCACCTACGAGATCTTCGTCGCCGCTTGCCGGACCTCCTCCGGCAAGTCCCTCACTTACATTTATAGCAATTCCTCCAGCTCCGACCGATCGTCGTCCCCTTCGTCAAGCTCGCCGTCGATGCAGAGACCTCTCACTTCCACTGCGGCTAGCAAGATGAAGAAGGTGCTGGGGATCCAATCTAGTTCGAAGAGGAGCGAGGGAAGTCAGTCTTCGGACGGGAAGACGAAGAAGCCAGTGACTGTGGGAGAGCTATGTGAAGTGAAATGAGAGAGAATGAAGACAACAATGATCTTTGGCAGCTATGAGGAGGTCTTGGAAGGATAAATTGGGCTATTAAAAATTAATGGGACTTGAAGGAGCAAATAATTTTATTTAGGACTTAATGGAGTATAAGTTCACAAAATGGGACTTGTATGTAAATGCCCCTTAAATTATTTATACTATTATACTTAAGAAATTATTTATACTTAATAAAATTTATTTATTAGATTATTTATACTTTATTAAATTATTTATTTTAATAATATGGTATTAATTATACTTAGTAAAATAAAATAAAATTTAAAAATTTGAACTACAAATTAAAATAAATTTATGTAATTTTTATTAGTATTCTATTTATTTAATTTTTTAAAAGTTCTAGGAAAAAAATAAAATAAAATTTATAATTTAGATTTAATATTCCTATTAGTAAATAATTCAAAAAGACAAAATAATCTTTTGAGTATTTATCCTTCTTCATAATATCCCAAACAAATATAGGATTTAATAGAATAGTCTAATCCAGACATCTAATCCCATGACTAAATAAACATGAGATACAAATTTAGGACTAACAGTCCAGGGATAATGTACCCCAGGACTAACAGTCTGGTGGACTATTTGGTTGGACTGGATTTGTATCCAATGTTTGTTTAGTTATGAGATTAGATGTCAGGAAATGACTATTTGATTGGATAGGATATAAATCTTATGTTTGTTTGGGATAAATGTTCAGATGACTATTTTACCATTTTCAATTATTTATTAAGCAATGGTAATATTAAACATATCTTTAATATTTTAATTATTTTTGGCTATATTAAATAAAAATTTATTTTATTTTATTTTATACACAATTAAATAAATTTATTTTTCAAAAATTAAATAAATTAAATAAATAAAATATTAATAAAATATATGTGATTGGCGGACGGATGCGGATTGATTTTCTTCAATCCGCCAATCTGGCGGACGGATGGCGGATTGGAGGTTCCGTGGCCACAACCGACCCGCGCCCACCCCTAACTGGTGTTTTGATTTTTAAAGCCACTTTACAAAGACTAAAGGAAAAAGGTCTCCTTTCTACTCTAAAATGAATAATCGGAGAGAGAGAGAGAGAGCCTTTGCTTCAGTCCTAAGAATTGGAGAGAGAGATCATTTGCTTCAGTCCTAAGAATTGGAAATATATATTATTTGTTTGGTTTGTGTACTCAGGTTAATTAATAGAATAATATTACGCATTATAAAATATGTATTGTGAAAAAAATTATAAACCTAATTTAAGAATGATCGCATAACATATAATAAACACTACAAATTAATTTAATGGTAAAAAAAATTTATAAATTTTATGATACCTAACATTATTGTAATTAATATTAGTATATATCAAGATTCTAGGAAAAATTGGGGGGGGGAAGGTGGGTTGAGCGTTGCTGCTGTGCTTATGGCACAGTAACACTACTATGAGGTCTTGTAAAGGAATTTTTTGAGTGTATTTTGAGAATCGGAATTGTCATATTATAAGATTTGTCGAGTATATCATCTATATAAAAAAATTAAGTTAATCAGACATTTGTAACGCAATGATCAAGCCCTAATTGTTTTTAAAAAATTATTGAAATATGTTAACCGCTTATTTTTTAAAAAAGAAATGTGCTCTTATTAAGAGGCTACAGATGTCCAATTTATTTGATTTTTTGTATGGATGATTTATTCGACTAATCTTATAATATGAACGGTTCAAATAATCGCAAAAGACTCGAGACACGGCCTCAATAAACCTCACAACAGTCTACTGTGCTTTATGGCACAGCAGGAACCCCCAACTCCCTTTAGGATGAAATAAAATTTAAAATTTTAATTTTATCAAATTTAAATCTTAATCTTTTAATTTTTTTTAATCTAAATCATTTTCTTATTTTCATTAATTAAAATTGATGAAAAAAATTATATTTAATTACTAAATTCAACAAAAAATAATATTAAAACTTAATATGTTGCTGACCATATCAATAATTAATCTGATCCACATAATTCAAATTATGAGTATTTTTTTTCTAAGTTTATAGCATTGTTGAATTTCTGCTCTTGTAGTCTTTCTCCACTGTAAACAGTAATATTACCAATCCAGAAATTGTACTCAAAAAATTACTAATAAATATCAATATGGGATCTGGATTCATTGTACATATGAATTCGACAAATCTAAATTAAGAGACCGGCTTTTTCTCCAGTCCCAAATCGGACTGGAAAGTGTATCATTGGGCCCATTTTGGGCATCATTTCAATAATCTGAACCGTTCATATTTTAAGATTCGTCGAGTAAATCATCATTGCAAAAAATCCAATCAATCGGATAACGGCAATCACGTATTTGGATCAGTTTTGTATAATATAAATAAATGGTAAGAAAATAAACGATTTATACAAAATTGATATAAACAAGTAGTTTTCCGTTATCCAATTGACTTGATTTTTTGTAAGGATGTTATACTCGATGAACCTTAAAATGTAAACAGTTCAGATTATTGAAACGAGATCTAAAAGTGGGCTCAATGGGCCGAACTAGATAGTCTAGTCCGATGAAGGACCGGAGATAGCCCAATCCCCAAAACTGTGTTTGGTTCAAGAATTTGAGAAGGACCGGAGATAGCCCAATCCCCAAAACTGTGTTTGGTTCAAGAATTTGATGAGGGCATTGGAAAAGAAAAGAGAAAATGATAGTAAAATATAAATAAAATATATTTACATCTCATATAGTTTCACACGGTGTTTTTCTTTTTCTTTTCAAATTCCTTTCCAAATCCATCGAGCAAAGACTGCCTAAATGAATTATTGGCACAAAATGGGTTCCATGACTTACTGCACTATAAAAGCATATCACTAGATCATGACTCAGCTCACAGAAGTAGTGCTCTAGTTAACAAACCTTAAATTTAGTGAGGAATATTATGATGATACCCATTAAGTTACTTAAAAAAATGGGTCTCTATGATATCAAAATCCAAGGCACTAGTGTTAAGGTAAGGGTAGTAGATCATCACGACTTGATCAGCTTAGGCCTTTCCGAGTTGAGATCTGAGATCACTACTCCAACTGTTGTTGGATTTATGGTCAAGGATGCGGGTTATTATGATCCTATAATGTTGCAACTTTGTGTCGGAAATCGTTGCCTGGTGATTCTAATGCATCGCTTGGATTCAAATTCAATACCTCAATGCCTAAAGAATTTTCTGGAAAACCAAGAAATTTGTTTCGTGGGTGTCGATTTGAGTAGCGGAGTTCATAGTTTGAGTGCAAAACATGGAATAGAATGCAAGAGCAGCGTTGAAGCGAAGGAGTTGGTTGCTAGAGTTCTTAAGAAGCCTCGTCTTATAAATGCTGGATTAGCAACATTAGCAGCTGAAGTTGGAATAGCTTGGGAGCAATCCAAATATCTGTCTAATTTCAACTGGTATGCTTTGGTTTTTTCGGATGAAGAAATTAAGTATGTTGTTGAAGATGTTTATGCATCTTTTCTGATTGGAACCAAGGTTCTTGGCATGCTTTAAATTTCATCTTCTTCCATCTAGTTGTGTATTTTGTTGGTCACGCTCAAATGCATTAAAGTGTCACCTGCTTAGTCTCTGTTATATGTTTTGCCTCCATATGAGTGTTTAAGGGTAATTTCTATAATATCCCAGTTTATGTGTGTAGGAGATTTTATAATGTATAACCAGATTATGTAGTCTAATAATTGTGTAACATCTTTGTGATACAAGGTTTTGGAATCAAATCTTATAAAAAAGAGTTTGATACTCTTCTATAATATCCCATTTTGTGTGTGTGTAGGAGATTTTATAATGTATAATTAGGTTATGAATAATGCTTGGGACCCCCTTTTGGGGGTCACCCCCTCACCCCCCTTTGCCACGTGGCGGGTGGTGATTAGAGGAGCAGGAAAAAAAAGAAAAAGAAAAAGAAAATGTAACCAATGAGAGAGAGAGAGGGGGTCAAAGGGGGTGGGGGAAAAGGGAGGATGAATCATTGTTGTTATTTGGTCTGATGACTGTGTAACACCTTTGTGATGTAAGATTTTGGAATCAACTCTTATAAATAGGAGTTTGATACTCTTTTGTGGTGATATTTATTTCTCTTCCCATATGGTTAGCAATGGAGTGGTTGTTGGGCTATTTAATCACTAATGGTGTAATATTTCTCATATTTGTAATTACTCTCTTACCAATTGACAACAAAAACAAAACAAAAAAATTATAATAGAAAATTTTGAGGCAAATTATTTTAAAAAATTCATAATTTGAGCCTTATAACAAAATAAATCTAAATTTTTTATTTTATCAATTTAAATTCTAATATTTTGTTTTGTTTTCAATCCACATTATTTGTATATTTTCATTGAGTAAAATTGATGAAAAATTACAATTTTAGTTATTACCCTTTCATTGAGTTTAATGACTAAAATATCATTTTTTTAGATAAATGGTTTAAATTGATAAAATTAAAAATTTATTTTGTTACAAGGCTTAACCTTGGGATTTTTTTGTAATTTCTCTAAAATTTTATAATACATCCCCAAAATTTTGGGATGTGTACCATATGTTCTACTTATAACATTTGTGAACTTTCGTTATGATCTATTGTGATGTTAGTTATGCATTGGTTATGAATCATTGTGGTGTTAGTTATAACTCATTCTGATGTTGGTTATGATCTATCATGATTATTATTTGGATAATAAAAGTTTTTTTTTAACAGAATAAAATATTTGGTTATGATTTTTTTTTTTTAATTATGAAAGAAATAAATTTAATTCTGACATTTATGATAATTAAAAACACTGCAATGTATTCTAGAATGACCCTTTTATAATACATTAATGTTGATAGCACAGCTCTATCATAATTAAAAAAAATTTAATCATAATGAAAAAAACCAAACATTCCTTAATGATAACAAAATAACATTTACAGTGAGTAACATCGCAAGTAACCAAGTTATGACTCACGCATATGGCACACCCCTTTTCTAAGTGTTTATTATAAAATATTTTGGTGCTTTTCATTTTGTTCGGTTTGAAAATTTTAAAAATAATTTTTTGAATTATCTATTCATGTTTTTTTTAGTGAAATTTTTTAACATTTTAATTCCAAAAAAAAAAATTTACTTTGTAAACCCACTAAAAAATTTGTACTTGTAAAATTTTTACATAAAATTTTTAAAAATCTATTGAATACAACAAAATACGAAAATATATCGAATTTATATATATATATTATTTTTTGTATTCAATGTATTTGAAAAAAAAAATTGTACAAATTTTATACTTTTTAAGTATATCTAGATTAAGTAAATAACAAACTAAAAAACAATTGATTAAAATATTTAAAAATTCACTAAAAATTCAAAAAATAAAAATAAAAACACACATACAAATTAAAAATCCATACTACAATTTTTGAAAACTCTAAGCCAAACAATTTTTAGTTGGAACAGGCTAATTTTCAAAGCCCTGAAACCGAACAAAACAAGAAAATAAACATAAAATTGAGTCAATTTTGTAGTAGTGAATAACAAACAAAGGCTGCTAACTCCAACTAATCAAAACCCTTTTTTATTTTCAAACCCCACCCAAAAACCAAAAAAAAAAAAAAAAAAGATTTTGAGCTGAAAATGTACTAGAAAAAACTGAATCAACCAAGGAGGCTTCATTAAAAGGACATTTACACAGATAAATCAAGGTATAAAGCGTGCTAGGGCATGAATGATCTATTAACCATTTTTAGGTTTTGATTTGTTTGGTTTTGAAATAAACCTTTATTTGAGATTTGAGCACCTCTGCTGTCAATCTCTACTGTCAGTGCGAATCCACAAGTCAACAAGTTTTATTAACACTCAGGTTAGTAATCTCATGCCCACTGAATTCAAAATACCTATCTCTGCTTCCAAATATATCTAAAATAATTGGATTTCTGTGAAAAGATGGAGCTAAATTATTTGCTTCTACTGCGTCTTTCTTTGGACCCTAATCCCGATTTGGAGGTAAATAATGAAGATTAAAGATTATATATATATATATATATATTTTGGATTGGTTTTGGTTTTGGGATTTGATTTGTCTGGTTTTGTTTTTTTGGTTACTGGGTTTTGATTTTTGATTGGTTTTGGTTTTTGGGTTTCAAACCCATCTTTCCCAGATTTTTGGGTTTGATGGTTTTGGTGATTGAACCGAGGGAGAGACAAAGAGATGAACAGAGGGAGAAGAAGAAAAGAAACAGAGGAAGTCAAAAATCAGGCCAATCCAGCCACAAAAAAGTCGTTTTAAATTTGGTGATTCAAACTAATCAATTTCAATAATATTTTCAATTTTTTGTCTAAAGATCTTGCTAACAAATGTGTCAGAGTACAAGAAGAAAGACAAAACAAAAAAATTAGGTTAAATTACACTGACTTCCCTCATGCCTCGCTTGTTTTTAGATGTAAAATAAAGAGAATTAATACTTTAGAAATTATTAGTGAGATGATTAAGTAAAATTATATTTATTTTGATGATGTGTAGGAATTGTTGAATTGTTAAATTATTTTTATATAAAACAAATAAAAAAATATAAAAAATTAAACATTAATGTTTTTAAAAAAATTCTCAATATGTGAAAAAAAAAAAGTTCTAACCCCTCACTATTTTTCTAATACCACATCCACCTCCCCCATCTCAATCCCCCTTCCAACCTCCATCTTAATCCCCTTCTTCATCCTAATCGTTTCCCCAACTCTACAAACAAACACAACACTAAATAATCTCACCTCCATCTTAAAACCCTCTCATCCATTACACCCCAAAATAAACGGGCCCTATGTCTCTACTAGCTATGCGAGTCCTACTGCTCAATGGGTTTGTCAATCCAATTAGATTACCAGTCCCGTGATTAGGGATAGCAATAGATAACCTATCCTGTGGGTATCCATGGAGACCCAACCCAAATACATGGATTTTTTCCTTTTTTCTTATCTGTCGACTAGGGTAAGTGATATTCTTTAAATATCCACAGGGAATGGGTCGGGGATGGGTACCCATTAATTTCCGCATATGTTTTTTTTTTTTCACAACTAAAGCTAAATATACATTCAATCTTTTTTCTTTTTTCTTTTTCTTTTTCTTTTTTTAAGGTTCACAACCAAAAAAAAAAATTTTTTTTTTTAATTTTTAAGATTCACAACCAAAAGCTAAATATATTCAATCTTTTTTTTTTTTTTTAAGGTTTACAACCAATTTTTTTTTTCTTAAGATTCACAACTAAAACTAAATATACATTCAATCTTATTTTATTTAGCTTAACAACAAAATCAAATACACATTAACTAACATTGTCACATTATTCTTATCAAATTTTATGTATATCTAGAATTTTTTAAATTTATTTAGAAAAATTATATTCCTACAAAAAAATTCCATCTTCTTTTTTAATTTTATGTATCTCCTTCTCCTCTCTATTATTTGATCTTTGATAATCTGAATGTGAGTTATTACTCTCATTTCCATCTTCTTCTTCTTCTTCTTCTTCTTCTTCTTCTTTTAAAATTTTTTATTTACATTTATAGAATGAATTTTCTAGTTTCAATATCTCCTACAATTGTTTTATTAGATTTCTCTCTGATTTGATGGGAACCTTAGATTGAATTTCTCAATTTTCATCGTAACTAGCAATCACCTTAATTAAAATTTTGTACATTTTTGTCTTCAATTTCCATGTTTTTGTTATGATTAATTGCGCATTTTTTTATCGATAGTCACAATCTTATCACCGCTAGATTGTCGTCATCGCAAATCGCCATTACTGTAATGAGAGGATGAGAGAGAGTGAGAATTAGAACTCTAATTGTCAATAGAGTATTGAAAACATATGGAGAAATTATTTTCAATGTACCTAAAAAAAATATGGGGAAATTAGTGGGTACCCATCCCCGGTTGAGATTTAAAGAACATCACTTACCCTTCCCGATAGACAAGAAAAAAAGGAAAACCCAAGTATTTGGGTTTGGTCTCCATGGATACCCACATGGTAGGTTATCCATTGCCATCCCTACTCTATTGACAATTAGAGTTCTAATTCTCACTCTCTCTCATCCTCTCACTATAGCAACGGCGATTTGCGATGATGACAATCTAGCAGTGACAAGATTGTGACTATCGATCAAAAGCGCACAATTAATCATAACCAAATCATGAAAATTGAAGACAAAAATGTACAAAATTTCAATTAAGGTGATCACTAGTTAAGATGAAAATTGAAAAATTCAATCTAAGGTTACCATCAAATTAGAAAGAAATCTAATAAAACAATTGCAGAAGATATTGAAATAAGAAAATTCATTCTATAAATGCAAATAAAAAAAAAATTTAAAAAAGAAGAAGAAGAAGAAGATGGAAATGAGAGCAATAACTCACCTTCAGATTATCGAAGATCAATTAATAGAAAGGAAAAGGAGATACATAAAATTAAAAAATAAGATGGAATTTTTTTTGTAGAAATAGAATTTTTCTAAATAAATTTAAAAAATTCAAGATATACATAAAATTTGACAAGAATAATGTGATAATGTTAATTAATGTGTATTTGATTTTGTTGTTGAGCCAAATAAAATAAAATAAGATTTAAAGTATATTTAGCTTTGGTTGTGAATCTTAAAAATAAAGAAAAATAAAAAAAAAATGAATATATATTTAGCTTTGGTTAAGATTGAATTTTTCGAAATAAATTTAAAAAATTCTAGATATACATAAAATTTGACAAGAATAATGTGACAATGTTAATTAATGTGTATTTGAATTTGTTGTTGAGCCAAATAAAATAAAATAAGATTGAATGTATATTTAGCTTTGGTTGTGAATCTTAAAAAAAAAATGGTTGTGAACTTTAAAAAAAAAGTAAAAAATAAAAAGAGATTGAATGTATATTTAGCTTTGGTAGTGAATCTTAGCCAAAAAAAAAAATAAAAAAAAAAAAAAAAAAAAAAAAAAAAGGGCAAGTTGGGTTGAGGAATATCCAAACCCATTAGGAAATGGAGAGGATAGTACCCATGGGGAATGGAGAATAGAAAATGAAAAAAAATAATTATAGAAGAATGGAGATGGAGAATTAATATTCACCTCATTAACTCCCGTTACCATCCCTACCTGTGATTAATTTCACAACTAAACATGTTATGAATGAGACTCACGTCAATTTTAGTTCAGTTCTATCATTGACGTGGGAAAACAAACATAACCTTAGTCCTATGGTCACTTTTTCAAATAAACATGATTTTCATGGACTCCAGTCTCACTACTAATCTAATATGTTCCTCTATCACTTAAAATAAATAGGGTCTCAATATATATTATCCCAAAAAAAAAAAAAATTATTTGATATGATCTAAATAAATATTTTTTTTTACTTTTTATGAAATAATATACAAAAAAATAAAAAAGATGATGCGACTCAAATACATGTACTTATTTAGAGAATGTCAAACAAGTTCTAAGTCGATCCAATAATCGTAATATTTTTATTTTATCTTTTTGTCTCTAAAAAATGAATTATCTAATCTCAAATTATATATATATATATATATATATATATATATATTTTGAATTATTGAAAGAAGGGCTCTGAGGTGTCATCACGACCTCGTGGACCCTGACCCCGGGGTAACCGGTTGCCAGCCAAGAATTAACCCCCACCACGTGAGGGACCCACCACCAAGACACCAATAGAGCTCAACCACACACCCCAGCAGAGGACAGGTGACAAGAGGAGTACAGAGCGTGTTCTCCGAAGAGATTTCAAAACACCCCCTCAGGAATCGACCGTGACTCAGTGCTGGGAAATGCACTGCATTCTCCACCAAGCCACCAACCCCGGTGGTCTCCAATTATATTGATTCACAATAAATTATAATTTAACATTAAAATATATCATAGTTAAATATCATAAAGCTCTTAAATGTGACATATGCACACACCTCTAAAATGTTCCAACAAACACTTCGTGGACTGAACCGTAAGTCTCCTAACGGAGACTTTTCTCATAAGTCATGCGTTCACATTCGGAGCACATTATTGACTGAGATTTTGATGGAAATCATAGTGCTGCTGTTTTGATGTTTAAAGCCACTTTTATAAAGACTAAAGGAAAAAGTCTCCGTTCTACTTTAAAATGAATAATTGAAGAGAGAGAGAGAGCCTTTGCTTCAGTCCTAAGAATTGGAAAGATATATTTGTTTGGTTTGTATACTCTGCTTAATTAATAGAATAATGGTACACTTTATAAAATAAATATTATAAAAAATTATGAACTTAATTTAAAAGTGATCGCATAACATATAATAAGCACTACAAACTAATTTAATGGAGAAAAATTTTTATGAATAATTTTTTCTCATAATACCTAGCATCATTGTAATTAATCTATATAATAAGGAAGGATAGTTTTTTGAATTGTGATGGGACTTTTGTCCTTTTGTCAAAATGTAAACCCTTAGATTAATTCAATCCAACAGCTACAAAATGTCCAAGAAACAAATTATATTTCAATGGTTGAGATTGTTTGTTCACATCCTACGGTGGATATACATTCTTTCCTTCCATACCTTTCTTCAGCTGGCTCTCTCTCTCTCATTCAAAATTCAAAATTCAAAATTCAAAATTCAAAATTCAGTTGTCTCCCTCGTCTCTCACTCTCAGGGCTCACAGATTGGAGGGGAGGATTTTCAATGTCATGGCCTCATCAGTTTCTCAATAGGTCATCTCTCTCTCTCTCTCTCTCTCTCTCTCTCAATATCTTCAATATGAAACCCACCTTAAGTCAGTTTCTTCAATATGAAACCCACCTTATGGGTGATAAGTAGGGTTTTGTTTGCAAAGTAAAGGTAATACTCTCATGTCTATTGTGTGTATCTATATTGATTACAGTTTTTCTTAAAATGTGTATATATGTGTATGTATATGTGTATATATATTAAAATCTTCAATATGAGGATTTTCCCTATGTTTTTTTTCTAGATGCATGTAGGATTTTGAGTATATTTTTATGGGTTTTGTTGATTTTTCTTACATATATATATATATATATATATTATCTATGTATATATGCACACATATATGAAGAGTTAGTTGGGTTCCACGAATCCCATCTACTTTGATTTTTAGTAGAAACTTGTGGGACTGTATTGAGTTACTCTATTGAATGGTTGTTGTGCCATTTTTTTATGTTTGATAACCATTCTATCTTCCTTGCTTATTAAGTGTTTGTTAAAATGTTTCAATGGAATTTACACATACATATACACAGAAGGTAATACTCTCATCTCTTTCTTAATAGATTACTGTGTGTGTATATATTGATTACAGATTTTTTTATTCTTTGAAGCTATAAAGATCATCAATTGATCATTAATGAATAGAGAAAGAACGATTCCCAAAATCAAACCGTGAGTATTGTTTTTCTTTAATTTTCTAGATGCACGTAGGATTTTGGGTATACTTTTATGGGTTTTGTTGATTTTTCTTATATATATATATATATATATATTATCTATGTATATATACACACATGTATGAAGTTCGTTGGGTTCCACGAAACCCATTTACTTTGATTTAGTAGGAATTTGTGGGACTATTGTATTGAGTTACTCTATTGATATAGTTATTGTGCCCTTATTATCGCTTGGTTGTTACTAAAATGTTTGATAGCCATTCTATCTTCCTAGCTTATTAAGTGTTTTGTTAAAATGTTTCAATGGAATTTTAACACACGCCAAAAAAAAGAAAAATTAAAAAAAAAAACCGAAATTAAATTCACTAAACATACTTTGTCATAATATAATTTTTTTTTTTTTTTTTTGACTGTGCACACACAATAAATTTGCAATTAAAATTTCACAAAATTGACATTTCACACCACACACATTTGGCAATTTTCATCATAAAAATATCATAACTGTCTATTGATGTGCTCCTCTTTTTTTTTTTTTTGATAAATAATTTTTTTTTATTAATATGATGTGCATCCTTTTAAGAGTGGACATTATTAATTTAGCCGAGAGAATGCATTAAAAAAAAATCATAACAAGATTGAAACCTTAAACAAATAAATTATGGGTCAGAATTAAAAAATAAATTATACAAAAACAAATCCAACTTGAACTTAGGCTTTTTGTACACGAAAAGCAATTGTCAAAAATGACTAATTGGATGGAGATAAAGTCATTCTCATTCATTTTTTTATTTTTGCAATCTCATTGATCATAATTACCAATTCTCATTCCTTTTCCTTACTGTTGATTAAAATTTCTTTTCCAATTTTTGGTTCTTAGATCTCAGCCCAAAATTTTTAGAAATTAGGATACTTTGTTAGTGCTGAATTATCTGTGAATAGAATTAGTAATTAACTTATCTTTTCCCTACAAATTTGGATACTCTGTTTTTTTTTTCATCCCATCATCCCCACCATCACCAACAAAGTCTCACTCTCTATCAAATCAAATGGGGGTTAAGGAAAAAATTGGTTTCATGTTAACACCCATTTTTATTTCATGTTAGTCAAATGGATTGAGGATTGTTAACATTAAATGGGTTGATGTGAACATTAAGGTTAACTTGACTGTTAACATTAAGCTGGAACTAAAATAGATGGGCATATTTTTACTCATAGTTTCAAATTAGACAAAATATTTTTGGTATTTTTTGAATACTTTTGTATTTACTTAAGCTTTATCTAGGACATTATTCAGTGGTGATTTGCAGAATGATAATGAGTTGTGGTGCACAGCAGATGTGAGCAGTGGGTTTTGTTTTGGGGTAATGTTCTTATAATTTTTATGATTATTTTTATTATTTTGAGAAATGCTCTTACTGATTTTGGATTTGGTGCTCCTTCATTTCTAAAAGATGTATTTTGTTTATCGTGATTCTTTTGGATATATTTATTTATTTTGAGTTAGTTTTTCAATTGTTTTTGGTATTGATATGCATCTAAGAAGGTTTCAATTGCAGTAAGAGTGCTTCAAAGTAGAAAATCACTTCTAATTTAATTTCTTTATTTACATATATGGTAATTTGTATATGAAGCATTGTGTTTGTGGTCCTATATATCTGAATCATTACTTTAAATTTGCTTAATAGGTTCACATTAGAGAGCTTGAGGAAGAAGTGAAACTTCTTTATATTTCTCAATGTCTTAAGTTTTTGGTACGTTTTTCGATAAATTACATTTGTGTTCAACTACATTTTAATAAATTACATTTGTATTCAACTATATCGTGTCATTACGCACGAGCATACTTTTTATTCTTTACTTTACATAGCTCTTATTCTTCCCTTTTTATTCTGTTTATGTACTTGCTCTTCTCATCTTTATTGTAACCCTCTCTTTGAAATTAATTTTTATATTTTATTATCCGATTTGCTACTAAAATTGTTAAAAGTTCTTTACAAAGAATAATATTTCTTTATATTTTTCCAGTGTTTTTATCAAAAATCAAAAAATGCTACAGACTCTACAAATTTCAACATGATGCCCATAAATTACAACTACATTTTGATACTAACATAATTTACACCGTGCCTTTAGGTAGTTCAATTTCTCCATTTGTCATATTCATGCACAAATGAACTTCTTAAAGTAGGTTGTTAACTACATTATTAAACCTCATTCTGCCTTCTTGTAGTTATCTTTGTCTAATTTACATAACCAGACACTTTCAGGTTGAGACAACATTGACCTTCAACCTCTAATTATGGACAACATTACCATTTTTGGTCACGTAAGGTGTTTTCTTTTTAATTTATTTGAACAAAAAAAAAAATAATACACCTTTCTTATAAGTTGAAGTCAATTTTCTTTTCTTTTCATTATTTTTTATCTAATTTCCTGATAACAAAATGCTCTTTTCTGATGGATGGAGACCTATGTCAAACTATAATATTGACTCTTTTTACTCATTTTCTTACATGCATACATTTTAAATTTTTTTTTACCTCTAATTCTATTGTATTTATAGTTTCAATTTCTTCAAGAAAGAAATGCTAAGAGTGTTTTGATATTTATATAGATTTTCTTCTACTAATATACTAACTTTTTTATTTTCATAAATTACTAGATTGTTGTGCATGCTTCTCAATGGGGATACATAGAAGTTGATACAAAAAAATTTTGGAAAGTGATGAGACGCTCCTACGAATTCTAAGAAAGAACAAGTTTGAAAATCATATTTATTTTTTGTGAAAAGCGTACATATGCTAGCTACGATCTAGATTTTGTAAAGTTTCCTATCAATGTGAATTTTAGTTTTGTAAAGCCTTTTATCCATGTGCAATTTATAACTAAGTTTAGATGTATGTTATATAATATTCATTTGAATTATTCACTCGGTCATATAGTCTTTTTTCTTTTTTCTTCCTAATATGCTCTTGAATTAGCTTAAAGAAAACTAATCATCTTTTTTTTTTTTTTGTTGAATTTGAATTTGTGCTTTCTTATATATTTTTAACAAGAAGGGTGTTGCTTTTAATATATGATTGGATTGTGTACGTATTAATCTTTTAAAATAATTGTTCATTGCACAATTTTTGTCATTTTTTTTTGAATTGCAAAGCACGGCTGGTGTGCTTTATTTATTTGTTATTTTTTTCTATTGTGGAGCATTGATTGGCGTGCTTAATTTGTTATATGTCCTTTTTTTTCGTATTGTAGAATATTGATTGATGTGCTTAATTTGTTATTTGGCATTTTCTTTGTATTGCAGAGCACGAACTGGTGTGCTTAATTTATTTTTATTTTTTTTCTATTGCAGAGTATTGGTTGACGTATTTCGTCTGATTTTTATTATATGTTTCTGTGTTGTGAGACTTACATTTTATTGTTTATTTAAAATCTTAAAATTATTCCAATTACATTTTCATTCCAATAATATTTTCACCGTGCCTTTAGGCACGGGCATACCCTAGTACTAGTATATATCAAGATTCTAGGAAAAACAAGGGAGGGAAAATAGGGTTTGACCTTTAGGTTAAAATAAAATCTAAATTTTTAATTTTATCATTTTAAATCTTAATCTTTTAATTTATTTTTAATCTAAATCATTTATTTATTTTCGTTAATTAAAATTGAGGGGAAAATGATATTTAATAACTAAATTCAAAAAAAATAATATTAAAACTTATTATGTTGCTGACCATATCAATAATAAATTTGATGCACATAATTCAAATTATGAGCATTTTTTTCTAAGTTTATAGCATTGTTGAATTTCTGCTCTTGTAGTCTCTCTCCACTATAAACAGTAATATTACAAATCCAAAATTTGTACTCAAAAAATTACTAATAAATATCAATATAGGATCTAGATTCATTGTACATATGAATTCGACAAATCTTAATTAAGGGACTGGTTTTTCTCCAGTCCCAAATCGGACTGGAGAGGATATTGTTGGGCCCATTAGGCTCACTTTTGGGCTCCATTTTAATAATCCGAACCGTTCACATTTTAGGATTCGTCGAGTAAATCATCCTTGCAAAAATCGAATCAATCAGATAACGACAACCATATATCTGGATTAGATTTGTATAAAAAAAATAAACGGTAAGAAAATAAACGATTCATACAAAATTGATACGAACAAGTGGTTTATGTTATCCGATTGACTTGATTTTTGGCAAGGATGATATACTCGACGAACCTTAAAATATAACCAGTTCAGATTATCGAAACGGGATTCAAAAGTGGGCCCAATGGGCCAGACTAGATGGTCAAGTCTGATGAAGGATTAGAGATAGTCCAGTTCCTAAGGCTATGTTTGGTTCAATAATTTGGGAAGGGATTTAAAAAAGGAAAGAGAAAAGGACAATGAAATATAAATAAAATAGGGTTTGGCTTTGGTCCAGTCCAAGATCGGACTGGACCGTACTATTGGGCCCGTGGGGGCCCACCACGGGTTCTGTTTTGAAAATTCGAACCGTTGAATGTGTAGAACTCGTCGATTACTATATGCCTGTAAAAAATCACATTGATCGGATATTGATAGCTATGTGATCAAATTAGTTTTGTATAAAAAAAATTGATGGTGAATAAATTAACGGTTGACAAAAAACTGTTTTGAGCACATAGCTATCGATATCCTATCAACGTGATTTTTTACAGACATATAGTATTCGATGAGTTCTACACATTGAACGGTTCGGATTTTCAAAACGGGACCCGTGGTGGGCCCCCAGGGGCCCAACAGCATGGTCCAGTCCGATCTTGGACTGGACCAAAGCCAAACCCAATAAAATATACTTATATTTCGCATAATTTCATATAGTTTTTCCCTTTCTCTTTCCCTTTCTTTTTTCTAAATCTCTCTCCAAATCTATCAACCAAAGTTGACCAAAATAAATTGTTGGCACAAAATTATGGGTTCCAAGACTTACTGCACTATAAAAGCATATCACTAGATCAAGACTAGGTTGACAGAAGTAGTACTCTAGTTTTTTTTTTTTTTTTTGGGAATAAGTAGAACTCTAGTTAACAAACCTTAAATCTAGTGAGGAATATTATGATGATACCCAAGTTACTTAAAAAAAATGGGTCTCTATGATGTCAAAATCCAAGGCACTAGTGTTAAGGTAAAGGGTAGTAGATCATCAAGACTTGATCAGCTTAGGCCTTTCCGAGTTAAGATCTGAGGTCACTACTCCAACTGTTGTTGGACTTATGGTCAAGCAGTCGGGATATTATGAACCTATAATGTTGCAACTTTGTGTCGGAAATCGTTGCCTGGTGATTCTAATGAATCGCTTGGATTCAAATTCAATACCTCAATTAGGGGTTTAACTTGGGTGGACTCAATCCGAGCAACCCGAATTCAGCCTAAATTTTTTTAGGACTTGGACAAGATATTTTTAAATTCAGCACAGGCTTAGGCAAAAATTCTGAAGCCCAAATTAAATTTGGATGGGCTTGAGCAAAGACATCAAACAACCTGAGTAACCCGAAACCCGAATTATACATATATAGATATATAAAAATATTAAATTATATATACACATTATTAGTCATTACATGATATTAAAGTAATTTAAATTATTAAATCATATTGAATATATATTATATATACAAATAATATAAAATCTTACTTCTTTTTTTATTTTTTTTATTTTCACTCATAAATTGTAAAAACTACTATAGTGGCATATTTCTTACATTATATAAATTATTTGTTTTGATGGTATTAATGATTTTCTATATATAAAAAAAATATAAATAGAGTCAAATTTTAATAATTTAATAATGTAGCTGCAAAAAAAAAAATTTACAATTCAGTCAACTTGGGCAATTCGGGTTTAACTCGGGTCGGACTTGGGCAGACAACCTCGAGTTACAATTCGGGCTTGGGCGAGCCTGGGCAGATCTCAACACAACTTGGGCTGGGCTTGGACAACCTCTCAACCCGACCGAACCCGCCCGAGTTGCACACCTAGCCTCAATGCCTAAAGAATTTTCTAGAAGACCAAGAAATTTGTTTCGTAAGTGTCGATTTGAGTAGCGGAATTCATAGTTTGAGTGGAAAACGTCAAATAGAATGCAAGAGCAGCGTTGAAGCTAAGGAGTTGGTTGCTAGAGTTCTTAAGAAGCCTCGTCTTATAGATGTTGGATTAGCAACATTAGCCGCTGAAGTTGGAATAGCTTGGGAGCAATCCAAATATCTGTACTACAATAAGTTGGGTCTTGAATGACGAATTTTTTTTGTCTCTAAAGAGTTAATTTCGTCACTATAAATATTTGTGAGGAAATATTTTTGTCACCGATTTCGTCATTGAATGTTTGTCACTAAAAAGCGTCGTGACGAAAAATAATTTCGTCACCAATGAAATTACTTCAATGACGAAACGTTTTGTCACTAATAAAATAATATTTTGTCGCCAAAAATCCTCATTTTCGTCACCAAATAATTATTCAGTCCCATAGTTATAACTTTAGTTGATGAATAAATTTGTCACATGTTGATCATTGATGAGGAAATAATTTCGTCACAGTAAGATGTAAAGTTGATGAAATTTTTCATCTCCAAACGTCATACATGAGTGACAAAATATATTTCATGGCAAAAATATATATACGTGACGAAATTTTTAGTTACAAAACAACAAAATCAATAAAAACTTTCACATATAAACTGCAATAAATTTTGTCACAAAAAATATTTATTAACGACGAATAATCACTTTGTCACAATAACAAGTACAAATGACGAAAAAAATTCATCACTAAACTTGTCCTATATTTTATATTTCAATTTAAATTATTATTTCACAAATATCCCTACTCATATCTCAATAACCTTTTAAATATATTAAGAAATCCACTAGCTATTATACACCATTCCACAAAAAAATTCACTAAACAATTTATATTATAGATCAAAATATATGCATCAAACAAATTTAATAACAATCCATTAAGTATAACAAAAAAACCATCACAACAAATCCCAAAATGAACTAACATGGAGTCCACAAAAAAAAATCAACACTTGATTTTGATTTGCAACTAGAACTAAGTATCAGTTCAGGAAAAAAAAAAATTAACACTTGATCCTGATTTGCAAGTATGCTTCCAAACATCATCAAAAACCAATCTGCAAAGAAAAACATTAACATATTATCAATTACATTGTATAGACCTCTCTATCCATGTCAATACAAATTGTGTACACAATGAGTCTAGCTTAACAACCAGAAGTTCCTTTGTACATGTAGTAATCACATCACTAACTTAGAGCAACTTCAACACTGCTTAGCAAAAATACACAAAAAAGTATGCACATAGTTTTGTCTCTACTTTGGTTAGTGTGTATTTTAACAAGGGTCATGCTAAGTAAGAAGTAACTAATGAATCTATTTTCATTAAATACATCTTCAAACTTGTTAAATCATAGTTAATAATTAGTGAAATTGCTATGCTTTAACTAGTATTTACTAACCAACATTAGAAAAATAAAAACATAAAACAAGTAAGACTTACCAAAACGGCGATCTACGAGTTCTGTAGGTGTGGGTGCTCAAGCTCCATCCACACTTTGTTGCCACCGCTTTGCTAATATCCGTGGATTCACCTTGCATGTCAAATTGATCCTAGCAACAACCACAAATATTGTAAGTCATAATTAATTATATTATATGAATTCAATCAATTATGTAAAACTTTTACCATTAGATGCTAAAACATAGGTGCCGTAACTTCTTCGTTGACATGTTTCCACCTGTGAATGCTAAAGTCTGGCAAGTGTGCACGGGACCTCAACACTAATTTTGGAGACTAATTGAGAGGCATGATCCCCCACTGGCGCATAATACTCCTATGGTATGGGAACACCAGAATACTGTGGTGCAATCTCCTGATCATAGAAAAGAACGAAAATAAGGTCAGACATGAGTGAAAACAGAATTTATGCTATTCTTAATTTCAATTGTTATGTCTTACAAACTGCAAGCATGAATAATTGTTATGAGTTTTTCCACATATGAAGGATCATTAATTCATAAATGAGAATGACTTGGATGAAAATGGAAATGAGGAAAAATGTCCTGTATTCTGATTATAGACTTCTGTCATGGAAAGCAAGTTGCTGGTGAAAATTGTGGTGTACATGTGTTCATACCCAATTAGTGTTCACTTACCCAATTAGGAACCCACCCTGGTAAAGTGAAGTACTCTGGTTTAAACAATGGACCAGAATCACAATGAAGCCAACCAGTTGACAAATCCTGTATGTATTATCACCAAAAGGAAATGGAGATAAGTTTCTTCCAAGTTGGATACATATACCTTTTTAAGCAAGAATGATACAATATTGAAAAATAAGGTTCGCCTTCCTCGAACATGTAAGCCACTCATTGCAACCCATGACATTTGCAAGCTGTGTAAACAATAGACATCAATTGTGGAAGAAAAAAACAAGTTAAGCACCACTGGCACTGCTAGCATGTAGTGGTGACTCCCTCCCTTCCTCTCGCTACTCTCCTCTCAGATCTTGAATTCACACTTCATTCATCAGGAAAAAAATAAAAATAAAAGAATTAGTCTTCACTGTTTTTCAAAATGTTTTTTTTTACATTAAATAAATAAATAAATCATTATGTTAATAGGTGCAATACTAACCACACGTCAAAATCATTTCGATTATGTTAGGCTTCGTTTGTTTTGGGTTATAGGGAGGGCATTGGGATTCATAACGAGCTGAGACCCACTAGAGTCTACTAAAGAAATTAAAATGAGTAATTAATGGACAAAAAGTGATAAAAATAAGATCTAATTTTATGTATTAAGTGTTTATTAATTTAGATATATATTAATGTATATAAGAAACAAAAAAATAATTAAAGAATGAGTGTTGCAATTAGTACCCCATCAATTATTTTGAACCTCTTATTTCTTTAGATCCCCACTTATAAATTGTAAAACTCTTAAAAAAAAAATTATTAAACAAAAAACTTGAAACAACACAAATATGCCAACACAAGCACCCTTGTCAAACACACACACATGCATGTGTGCACCTACAAATGTGTACACACACACACACAGAGAGATTATGTAAGAATATATTTACCTGCCCAAAATGGAGGAACACCACACAATAAAATGTAGAGTATTACTCCTGCACTCCATATATCTATTTCTGGTCCATAGTTCCACTTGAGCACCTCCGGAGCCATGTAATATGGACTTCCAACAATTTCAGAGAACTTTTCATCTAACAAAAACTCAAAAATTTAAACATAAAGCTGAAGTGGAAAAAATAAATAAATAAACAAAAATCAAATTCTTCAGTTTCAAGCTTCCAATTGTTCATTTGTAAGCATCTCACTACCCATAAATGAGGAAAAATGCCATATTTGAAGGATAAATTGAATCAATGTGGCAATGAACAAGGGACGACCACTAGTTTTATGTTTGTTTTTATTAGTACATGTGATATGGCCTGCATGTATAAACAGGTAGAAGTGTGAGAAAATTATTTGATAAGTCACGAGGTAAAGACTATTGGCTTGCATAAACCATGCTGAATCACATGTTGTAGCTAAATCTCAAGACAGTAAAAAATCAATAGAACTCACATTAAATTGTTGAATTGTTATGCTCTTCTTGCAAGATGGGGAGTATGATGGTAAGATCTTATACTATAAAATTAACACAACTGTTACCAAATTATGTATTCGGAAACAATTTGCTAGTTGTTGTAAGACTATAGCAATACTAGCCCTTTTGTGAGTATCAAACTCACCTGAGCCAAATTAAAACATGGATTTGGTGCTCAAGGCATACATACAGTACAAAAATCAGTAAACATTCAAATGTCACCAGAGTTTTCAAACCAACTAGAGTGAATACATTCATTATCTCAATGCCAGCCAGCCAATAATGAGTACAAATTTAGGGTGTGTTTGATTGGACAGACTGGAAAATGGGGGATTATAAATCCATCGGACTTGAGTCCTGGGACTGTGAATCCCCCGGACTATTTGGTCGGATTGGATATGTATCCTGTGTTTGTTTTTTCATGGGATTAGATGTCTGGATAGGACTATTTTCAGTGAATCCAACGTTTGGTTGGACGGACTGGATAGGATAAATGAACAAAAGACTATTTTACCCTTTTTCAATTGTTTACTATGTAATAGCAATATTAAACATATCTTTAATATTTTAATTATTTTTAGTAAACATTAAACATACTAATGGTTAAATTTTGTTTAAAGATATTTAAACATACTAATATTGATAAAAAAATTTGACTGGTATAGATTATTTTTATTTAAACAAATAAAAATTTATTGTTGAAATTAAACATACTAATGGTTAAATGTTTAAATTTTTATTTAAACAATTAACATTGAAATTATTTTGATGTACAGATTATGTTTAAACAATTAACAATTAAATAAATGTTGATGTATAGATTATGTTTAAACAATTAACAAATGTTGATGTAATTAACAATTAACAAATGTAGATGTAATCAAATGTTGATGTATTAAAACATAATTTAATAGATGTTAAATAAATATACATGTTGATGTACAGATGTTGAAATAATTTAATAAACATGTTGATGTACAAATGTTTAAATGTTTAAATAAAACATAATTTAAATAAATGAAATTATTTATTGTTGAAATTAAACATTTAATTGTTTAAATAAAACATCTATTAAAACATCTATTAAATTTAAATAATGAAATTAAATAAAACATAAACAAAATTTTAAAATAAAACATCAATAAAATATCTATAAAAAATTATTTTAAAAAATTAAATAAATAAAACATTAATAAAAAGTTAAATAAAATTATTTTATTTTTAAATTGAGACATTTAAATTTTATTGAATTTTATTAAATATAATACATAATTAAATAGTAGAGGGTCAAAATGGTCATTTTCGCATATAATCCAAACAGTGATTAGTCCCCCACTTTCTGTCCCACCCCCCCAGGACAGGATAGTCCCCCATATGGGGGACATGGAGTCCGGCCGGACATGGAGTCCGCCGGACTAAAAAAAAATCAAACGACGGATAAGGAGCACTAAATTTGGATTACAATCCAAATAGTGGATAGTCCCCCCTCCTAATCCCCCCAATCAAACACACCCTTAAGGTGCTTTAATGCCAGTCACCCAAGTAGCTCCTTTTGTCTTGCCATGTAGTTGATCATTGAAACTATTTCAGAATAGCATGTATCAAAGTTCTGGGGGGAGAAAATAGTACTCTAGTAACAGAGTTTTGCATTTAAATAATAAAATGTGGTCTGGCCACCTTATGAATGTATTCAATTCAAAAATATAGCACAACATTAAATGTCGCTAGTTAAGAAGCATGGACACTTCAAAGAAGGTGTCGTGTGTTTGTGTCGGACACTAACACTCCTCATACACACCCTGACGTATGTGTTGAACATGCATCCAAATGTTATATTATTTTTTTAATCTTTTTAGAACAAGACAAACATCTGAAACTTGAAATAACTTTGAAGCTAATAGTTAAAATCAAAGTAATGTAGATCCCTCCTTCAACTTGTAATGAATATTAAGAAGCAATAGACATCAAGCAATACCATTGTAACAAAAATGATTATGAAAATATATAGAACACACTGTGAGTTCAAAAATTCCAAAGATTAACTTCACTAAAGCCTAAACAATAGCATAAGCAAGTGTAAATGAGGAAAACAATTGTTCAAATAAATGTTTACAAGAACTATAGTGGGATATAAAGCTGCACCCCATGCAACGTGCACGAAGGAACTAAAAGCTCTCTACATCTTCACTGGAGTAGAGCCACCCGAGCCTGTCCCATATAAAAACCAACCATCTGATCTTATGGAAGTCAATGACAAGCTTCTGTTTCTCATGTCCATAGTTGAAGTGAAGTAGGTAGAACTATTTCTATGTATGTTATATGGTAAGGCTAAATGAAAAGAAAATAAAAATAAAAAAAACTCCGCACAAGTTTAGAGACCACATAAGCAAAGAGAGATGGGGTCTGTGAACTTGCTAATAGAAGGAGACCTCAAAACAGCCTGCAAGGAGGAACTACTCAAAGAGAAGATGCCCACAGCCAACTAAAACAAAGGCAAGAAATAATGGCAGTAGTAGAGCATCATGGCCTTCAATAATTCATATAGGAAGTACGTTTCTCTTATCATATCTTTTCCATTTTAAGTCATACTCTATCAAATGCTTGTGTTTGATGGCTGAAAAAGCAACTGACTTTCATTATAAGTTTGATTAGTCTCCTGCTCTCTTTTTAAGTTTGTGATTTATTTAAATCTTGTATTTGCTTGCCTACTGAAGTTCTCTCCTAAAGTTAGAATTGTTTGATTATATAGGGCAAAAACTGTATTTACAGGCTTGGAAAGCTTTCCTAATCATGCACAGAATACCAATGTCATGTCTGATGTTCAGGATGGTTACGGGCTTATGATTTCGGAGTTAATCGGAACTGAAATATCCAATTGTTCTTCTGTACCAGCAGACATTAGTTCTCTGCACAATGAGATGACCCTTAATAATGGAGAGGTGCAATTACAATTAACAAACTGTTGGAAACTAGATATTTGTTTAACTGGGATCTTTTCCATGTGTAGTTCTTCACACTAATATTGGTATATATCTGTGTGGCACTGGAAAAGACCAAGTTATTACATATAGTCTTCATTTATATATCTTGAAGTTTCTTAATACAATTCTCAACTACGTTAATTATGGCTGCTGAATAACTTACTTTGTATTCTACAAGGATCCTCAAATACCCAGGCATGGTATCCAAGAAGAATCAGGACGCTAGTCCAGCTAGCAAGGATGATCACAGAAGCAAAGGAATCAACCCAAATCATAGCCTAATTAATGAATTTTATTTTTTTATGAATAACCTAAGTAGAAAAACCTATAAAATAGACAGATATTAAACAAACATTCAAATATAGAGAGGAGTTGAACCCTAATTTTATTAAAAATAGAGACAATCAATCCAAATCATATAAAATATTCACATTTAGTGAAGGGCTTTTACTAATTTCAAACTATTAGTTATAATCAATAGAACATTCATTCTCAAGTTTATAACAGAAACAAGCAAAAGACATGAAATGAGGATGGCCAAGTTTACAATTTACACATTCACAATTTATTGAAGAGAAACCTTGCTGGAAAGAATAAATACAGCATTAAATCTATAAATTAGTTTCAAAAATTAGGGAAAACATTAATTCTGAAAATTAGGGAAAACAATGATAGAAAAATAGAGAAATTGAGTGTGTTAGAGAGAGAGAGAGAGAGAGAGAGAGAGAGGACCCATACCTAAAAATACAAAAACAGAGAAATTAAGTAATAAAAGGCGCTGATGTAAGAGAACACATAGCAATAAAGGAGATGCGACGTTTGTGGCGCCACTGAAGGAGAAGAACAGGGACGTCAGCAGCAGCTCTACAGAAGAACACATGGAAGGGTGCGTGGTAAAAGAAGAAATTGAGTGTGTTTTTAGTTTCGTCAATAAACAAAACACACAGCACTTGCGTTTTGTTTTGAGAGGGAGAGAGAGAGAGAGAGAGAGAGAGAGAGAGAGAGAGGGAAACAGATTTAAGATTATTGGTGATGCAAATATATTTCTCATTAATAATTTTTTAATTGATGATAAAAAAAAAATTCTTACTAAAAGTTTCAAAATTTTGATGTCATCTAAAAAAATTAGCGGGAAAAATTTCGGTGATGAAACATAATGTTTTTCTCACCTAAAAAGATGTATATATTGACGGAAATAAATTTCATCACCTATTATTTTTATTTTTTTATTATACATGACAAAATTTATAATTCCTCATGAATTATTCTTATTTAGTGACGAAATTTGTTTTCTTCATTAATTTTTGTCACAACAGAAAAAGAGCAAAGAGAAATCATGTACCAAATCGGCGAGCAGAAAAGATGGGGCGGTTACCGGCAAGGCTACTAGTGGCGGCGGCGACCGGCAAGGCTAATAGAGGCAACGACAATGGCGATTGGTGTGGTGGAGAGAGATGATAAACAAAAACAGAGAGAGATGATAAACATAAAAGGGGTAAAAAAATTAAAACTTTTTTTTTATTATTATTGCCGTTCAATATATCAAAATTTCCCCACCAAAATTGGTGACAACATTATTCCCTCATCAAAAGATCTCAAAAATATTATAAAAAATTGGTGATGAAAATATATTCCTCACAAATAATTTTATATTTAGTGACAAATTTTTTTCTCACTAGAAGTCCCAAAATTTTGGCGCCACCCAAAAAAATTAGCGGGAAAATTTTTGATGACGAAACTTAATTTTTGCTCACCTAAAATGAAGTATTTATTGAAAAAAATAAATTTCGTCACCTATCATTTTTATTTTTTTATTATATGTGACAAAATTTATAAATTCCTCACGAATTATTTTTATTTAGTGACGAAATTTATTTTCTTCACTAGTTTTCGTTACCATAGATTACTTTTGTTGTAGTAATTTCAACTGGTATGCTTTGGTTTTTTCGGATGAAGAAATTAAGTATGTTGTTGAAGATGTTTATGCATCTTTTCTGATTGGAACCAAGGTTCTTGGCATGCTTTAAATTTCATCTTCTTCCATCTAGTTGTGTATTTTGTTGGTCACGCTCAAATGCTTTAAGTGTCACCTGCTTAGTCTTTGTTATATGTTTTGCCTCCATATAAGTGTTTAGGGGTAATTTCTATAATATCCTAGTTTATGTGTGTAGGAGATTTTATAATGTATAACCAGATTGTTTAGTCTAATAATTGTAACATCTTTGTGATATGAGGTTTTGGAATCAAATCTTATAAAGAGGAGTTTGATACTCTTCTATAATATTCCATTTTGTGTGCAGGAGATTTTATAATGTATAATTAGGCTATTTGATCTAATGATTGTGGAACACCCTTGTGATGTAAGGTTTTGAAATCAACTCTTATAAACAGGAATTTGATACTCTTTTGTGGTGATATTTATTTCTCTCCCCTTATGGTTCATATGTAAGTAGCAATGGAGTGATTGTTGGGTTATTTAATCACTAATAGTGTACTATTTCTCATAGTTGTAATTACTCTCCCGTCAATTGACAACAAATACAAAACAAAAAAATTATAATAGAAAATTTTAAGACAAGTTATTAAAAAAAAATCATAATTTGAGCCTTATAACAAAATAAATCTAAATAATAAATCTAAATTTTTTATTTTATTAATTTAAATTCTAATGTTTTGTTTTGTTTTCAATCTAAACTATTTGTCTATTTTCGTTAAGTAAAATTGATGAAAAATGACTATTTTAGTTATTATCCCTTCATTTAGTTTAATGACAAAAATATCATTTTTTTTATATAAATGGTTTAAATTGATAAAATTAAAAATTAAAAATTTATTTTGTTACAAGGCTTAACCTTGGGATTTTTTTGTAATTTCTCTAAAATTTTATAATACATCCCCAAAATTTTGGAATGTATACCACATGTTCTACTTATAACATTTGTGAACTTTTGTTATGATTTATTGTGATATTAGCTATACATTGGTTATGAATCATTGTGGTGTTAATTATAACTCATTCTGATGTTGGTTATGACTTATCATGATTATTATTTTGGTAATATAAGGTATTTTTATTTTTTTTTAAAACAAAATAAGATATTTGGTTATGAATTTTTTTTTTTAATTATGACAGAAATAAATTTAATTCTGACATTTATGATAATTAAAAACACTGCGATGTATTCTAGAATGACCCTTTTATAATACATTAATGTTGATAGTACAGCTCTATCATAATTAAATTATTTTTAATCATAATGAAAAAAACCAAACATTCCTTAATTATAACAAAATGGGTTTGGCTTTGGTCCAGTCCAAGATCAGACTGGACCGTGTTGTTGGGCCTGTGGGGGCCCATCATGGATCCCGTTTTGAAAATCCGAACCATCAATATGTAGAACTCGTCGAGTACTATATACCGGTGAAAAATCACGTTAATCGGATATCGATAGCTATGTGATCAAATCAGTTTTATATAAAAAAGAAAATGGATGGTGAATAAATTAACTGTTGACAAAAAACTATTTTGATCACATAACTATCGATATCCGATCAACGCGATTTTTTACAGGCATATAATATTCGACGAGTTTTACACATTAAAATGGTTCGGATTTTCAAAACGGGACCCGTGGTGAGCCCTCACAGACCCAACAGCACGGTTCAATCCGAACTTAGACTTGACCAAAGCCAAACCCTAATGAGTAACATCGCAAGTAACCAAGTTATAACTCAGGCATATGGCACACCTATTTTCTAAGTGTTTATTATAAAATATTTTGGTGCTTTTCATTTTGTTCGGTTTGAAATTTTCAAAAATAATTTTTAAAATTTTCTATTCGTGTTTTTTTTAGTGAAATTTTTTAACATTTTAATCCCAAAAAAAAATTACTTTGTAAATCCACTAAAAAATTTGTACTTTTAAAATTTTTACAAAAAGTTTTAAAAAAATCTATTGAATACAACAAAATACGAAAATGTATCGAATTTATATATATATATATATATATATATATATATATTATTTTTTGTATTCAATGTATTTGAAAAAAAATAATTGTACAAATTATATATTTTTTAAGTATATCTAAATTAAGTAAATAACAACCTAAAAAACAATTGATTAAAATATTTAAAACTTCACTAAAAATTCAAAAAAATAAAAATAAAAACACACACACAAATTAAAAACCTGAGAAGGAGATTTATGATTTGGATTGGGCCGTGGTAAGGGCCGGACAAATTATGGGCCGAACACATTTGGGCCGTTGCAGCCTAGGCCCATCCAGAAAGGATTTTCGCTCGATGATGGCACAGTTGCTGTGAAACCGAGCTACTTGCTCGGTAATGGCATAGTTGCTCGGTAATGGCATAGTCGCATAATTGATGTCGTACTAGTGGTCAAGTGAGGTTCGACCGAGATGTCCGCTGCCTCACTAGGTTCCACGGTTCTTGCGTTAGCTCGGCAGGAAGGCCGACGGCTAACCAGCATGACTTATCCCGAGCTCGGTCGTCATTGAGCTTGGCGAGCGGAGCGCTCTGGCTAGCTGCGCAGCACGGCCGTTGACAGCCGAGATGCTGCATCCCGGCTGCCGAGCTCCCAGTGGTGTGCATTGGCAGCTAGGTGATGTTCAGCTAGATTTGTGCTGACAGATGGGATAGCAGCACCACGTGTCGAGAGACTAATGGGAGTAGATTTGGGGCGCAAAAGGTATATAAGCGAGTCTGCGCCCCCCATGCTGAGATAGATGAACATTTAGTGAGATATACACTTACACTCAACTCTCTCCTCTCTCTCTATCCCTGTGTGTGTGTGTGTGCTAACTTGATTGTCAAAGGGGTTTTCCGGCCACACACCGCCAGGTAGCTCACCGCTGTTGTGCTCGCAGGTCGATCGGACAGACAAGAGCTTGGAAGAAAGGAGTACGGGCTTGCCTGAATATTTGCTTCCCGTAAAATTGGCGCCGTCTGTGGGAAGTTGACAGACAAAACCTTGTCTTCTAAGCTCATCTAATCGCCGCCCATGGCGAACAACGACGAGATTTCATTGTCTGCCATCGACGGAGTTACCCCGAAGTCAGGCAGACGGAGAGAAGGACATCCCGCCATCCTTCCTATGGCGGACTTGGAGACTTCTCTAGGAGCGCGGGATAAGCGCGGAAGAAGCTTTGGTCATTCACAGAGTCCAGACGGTCACCAACGGCGGAGAGAATTGCATGCCAGACGACTGGAACAAAAGCTAAGGGACCAAGATACCGTTATCCGGTGAATGGCGACGGAGATGGAGGGTCTTAAGCGGCATGTCAAAGGGAAGGGTGTAGTTGGAGTGGGAGACCACAGTAAGCGCACCCAACCCCGCTGTTCAGGCAGTGAAAGCCAGCGGCGTACTCCGTCCATCTCAATCATCAGAAGTTACAAGGTTGGAGATTCCGACGCGCACGTAGAGAAGTCCAGCGCGCAAGAAAGCACCTATCAACCCTCACGTCCGGCGACGACGTCGAGGTATTCTTATTCCACTCGTTCAGAGGATTTACGGGTAGTCTTGAAGGAACGGGCTCGCCGGCGGGAGGCTTAGAGGGTGCCGACGATCCAGCAGCTATCCTATAGGGTTCACGCCAATAGAGAGGTCGGAATGCCTCCACCCCGCCTAGCTGCGCCACTCCTTCTAGACACAGACTTGGCAAGGCTGAGCGCCACCCCTTTCTCCTTGGAGATAGAAACAACACCGCTTCCGGCAGGGTTCCACCAGCCAAAGTTCATGCTCTATGACGGAAAAACCGATCCTTATATACATGTAAGCCACTTCCGACAGGTCATGGCCGGATATAGGCGAAATGATACCCTTATGTGCCTTATCTTCCCGTCAAGCTTGGGCGAGCTGGGCTTGAAATGGTTTGGGAGGCTGCCGGAGGGGAGCATAGAAAGGTGGCATCAGTTGGCAGAAGCCTTTGTGACGCGCTTCAAAACCAACACTAAGACGCCGAAGGAAGTTGACCACCTTCTCAGTGTCAAGATGGAGCCGAACGACACGCTCAAGGCATACAACTCCAGATACTGGGAAACCTTCAACGAGATCTTGGATTGCCCGGTCAACCTTGCAATCACGCAGTACAAGCGTGGTCTCCCAATCGGACATAGACTGCGAGACTTGCTTACGATGCACCAGCCGACATCCATGGGCTAGCTAATGCAACGCATCAATGAGCACATCCGAGTAGAAAATGATGCGGCAGCATCTACCACGAAGGCAACACCGGTAGCAACAGACAAGAGGTCAGCTGGCAAGGTACACGCGGTCGGACAAGAGGCAAACCGTTCAAATGATCGCGCAGAGGAATCAGACCGTGGCTCAAATTGCAAAAATCAGGGTAAGGGTCGTCGAAATGACCGAGATGACTACCCCCAGGATGACGTTGTCACGACCGCAAACCGCCCCTAGTAGTTTGGCGCCATGATGGCCAGTAATCCGAGATTACCGAAGGCCGACTTACAAAATTCACACACAATCAGAGTATAAATATATATAGGGCTCACAAGTGCGGAAGCAATAATCTAAAATACAAGTGGTCCACAAGAGCAGTGCATAAGTCAAATGGAATGGTATACATCTTTACATAGCTTTACAACTTGAATACAAATAGAAATGAAGTACAAAAATACATTTTTGTATCTTGATCAAAAGGCTTCTCCAACCGACATATGTAAATTACAAGCATTATAAGCCGAGAAGCATAATTTTCAAGACTGCCGACATGAATACCAGTTAGGCCGACATAACAAAAATCCAAAACAAGCTTGCGAGTCACACCTAGGCGTCACCGCCTTCCTGCTTATCACCTACATATATATATAGAGAGGGTGAGCTTAGATACTCAGTGAATGGTACAAGTAATAAAGGGTTTGCATGTATGACATCCGAGATCTTTAACAAAACAATACATAATCATAGCTTATGACAAACGTGGAATAAATCGAGGCCATCTAACAAATATATCGAGCTTCATCAATCAAAGTCTTTCAAGTTTCATGGGTGACATTAACAAAGATTGTGCTACAAATGCTTGTAGTCCCCTAACACGTACGGACTTTCAAGATTGTGCTACAAATGCTTATAGTCCCCTAACACGTACGGACTTTCAAGATTGTGCTA